GGAGAAGCATGGACTGCTTTCACCTTTCCTTGGATCTGCAACAGCAACTGAACAGATGGTTCAGGCCCATTGCCCATTTAGCCCCATCCCTGTTGTGTATTCAGCACTGCCCCCATACTTGCAGCTGAGTTTGCCGCCCAGTGCCCCTGCTGCTATGGCGCCCTGTGTGGCCACACAGCTAGCACACCCCTAAAGCCAGCATGTATTATGGAAAAATAATGCCATATCAGAGATTGCTTCTGTCTCTCTCTTTAGAAATTAATGCTTTGGAGAGGTGCTGAAGACATCATAAAAAACCACTAGAAGAAAGGTCATAATCATGCATAACTAGATAAAACAACATTACTTCTATTAGACAATGTCTAAATATGATTAATAAACATTTATAATTGCAAAAACAAACATGTTTTCTTATGTTATGTGTGGATAGGCAAGCCAAGACTGTATATTTGATCCGAATGTGTGTGTGGGTGGGGGGACTCTTCTTTGTTATACTTGGCTGATACAATTGAAGTTATGGTGTGAAGAACAGCCGAGCAAAGAGCGAATATACCTCCTCTAGTTAGATAATGCCCTGTGTATCATCATAATGACTTTACAATCTGTTATACTTCATTAGAAACAAACTGATTCTCCTTAACCCCTTAAGGACTAAACATCTGGAATAAAAGGGAATCATGACATGTCAGACATGTCATGTGTCCTTAAGGGGTTAAAGGGAAAATATCAGTACCCAGACCATTTAATCTCATTGAAGTGGTCTGGGTGGAGTGCTCCTATCTCCTTAACTCTGCAATGTAAAACACTGCGGTTTTAGACAAACTGCCATGTTTACATTGCAGGGTTAAAACTGCACACTAGAAGCAACCATGCTGCATGTGCTCATGCTTAGCATGAGGATGTCCAGCATCTTGAAAAAAAAACATTGTTTCAATGCTTTTCCTGTGGGGAAGGCCTAATGTGTGCGGCATATAAGCAGAGGGACACTATAATGTTAGGAATACCGAACATTACGTTTTTTGGACCCCGGACCCGAACACGGACATATCACCGTATGTTCGGGTTGGAGTTCGGTGTCCGGAGATTTAAAGCCAATCAACAAGCTTTTGACTTGTGTGCCCTTAGAAGCAATCACATCCATGCCTACTAATGGCATGGCTGTGATTGGCCAGTGCAGCATGTGACCCAGCCTCTATATATAAAATGGAGTCGCGTAGCACCACACACATATGAGCTCTTATTAGTGTAGGGAGAGGATGCTGCCGATGATAGGGACAGCTTAGGAAAGAATTCTGCAAACTAGTACATTAGTGGGGTGGGGTGCACTTCATATCTAAGTGTCAAATAGAAGCGTCAAATACTGCGCTTACAGCGCAGTTGTAAACATTCTAATTGTTTTGCTGCTAAACTGCTAAATAGTACATTTTGGGTGTGCTCTTTATATCTGAGAGTCAAATAGAAGCATCTAATAGTGCTCTTACTGCGCAGTTGTAAAAATTCTAATTGTTTTGGTGCTAAACTGCAAAATAGTACATTTTGGGGGTGCTCTTCATATCTGAGAGTCAAATAGAAGTGTCTAATAGTGCGCTTACTGCGCAGTTGTAAAAATTCGTATTTTCTGGGTGCTAATCTGCTAAATAGTACAGTTTGGGGCCTGCTCTTCATATGTGAGAGTCAAATAGAAGCGTCTAATAGTGCGCTTGCTGCACAGTTGTAAAAATTCTAATTGCTTTGGTGCTAAACTGCTAAATAGGACATTTTGGGGTGCTCTTCATATCTGAGAGTCAAACAGAAGTGTCTAAAAGTGCGCTTAATGCGCAGTTGTAAAAATTCAAATGAATTTGTTGCTTATCTGCTAAATAGTACATTTTGGGCGTGCTCTTCATATCTGAGAGTCAAGTAGAAGCGTCAAATACTGCGGTTACAGCACAGTTGTAAACATTCTAATTGTTTTGCTGCTAAACTGCTAAATAGTACATTTTGGGGGTGCTCTTCATATCTCAGAGACAAATAGAAGCATCTAATAGGGTGCTTAGAGCGCAGTTGTAAAAATTCTTATTGTTTTGCTGCTAATCTGCTAAATAGTACATTTTGGGGCCTGCTCTTCATATCTGAAAGTCAAATAGAAGTGTCTAATAGTGCGCTTACTGCGCAGTTGTAAATTTCTAATTGTTTTGGTGCTAAACTGCTAAATAGTACATTTTGGGGGTGCTCTTCATATCTGAAAGTCAAATAGAAGCGTCTAATAGTGCGCTTAGAGAACAGTTGTAAACATTCTTATTGTTTTGCTGCTAAACTGCTAAATAGTACATTTTGGGGGTTCTCTTCATATCTGAGAGTCAAATAGAAGCATCTAATAGTGCACTTACTGCACAGTTGTAAAAATTCTTATTTTCTGGGTGCTAATCCTCTAAATAGTACATTTTGGGGATGCTCTTCATATCTGAGAGTCAAATCAAAGCGTAACTTTGATACATCGGTCACTTGTAATATTGTTTCACACCTTCAAAACTTGTTACAAAAATAAGTGATAGAAAACAGATTGATATTTTCTACACTAGAAACTACCAGATAACAAGCTGCTATTTTTAAACCAGTAATCAATAGCTAAGAGGTACTTAAACAATATTGTAATGCTGGGGCAATACCCTCACAAGTCAAACTGAGAGGTCAGTTTATAGGGAAAACTGTTGCCTGGATACAATTCTAAAACAATTTCCATATGTCCTCTGCAGACTTTACATGCTGGAAAAACACAGGTGCCAACTGCTGTGGCTTTCTGCAGTGTGCATACCGGCAAGGAGGGCAGGGTTGAGGAGTGGATGGAAGATGATGTGGAGGATGATGAGGTCCTAGACCCCACATTGAATCAAGGTCATGCGAGTGACAAGTGCAGTTTGGAGGAAGAGGCGCTGGTCGCACAGAGGCACCAGCACAGCATAATAGGGAGCAGGGTGCAAAAGCGGAGCTGCCATCCCCTAGCGCTCGTCGGCATGTATTAGCTTGAGAATTACCAGTTATCCAAGTAATACATGTAGCGATCAAAGGATCCACAATAGAGTTGAGCGAACACGAACTTCAAAGTTTGGGTTCGTACCAGATTTAATGATCCATTCGTAGTTTCACAGTCAGGTGGGCAGTCCGGTGACCGGGACCCAGACAGTGTCTGGGTGACGGTCGGACGACCGGGACCCAGTATGCCTGATGTTGAAGTTAGGAGTCACAGTCCCTGATGCAGCTTCAGTAAAAAGAGTACTGGATACCAGAAGCCATCACCAGACTGATCCGCAACTTGGAAAAGCATGTGAAATTTACTGTAGCGGCTGTGCACACTTTCGGCGTTCTCACCCTGCTGCTGCTCGCCTGTCTGCGCTGCAGCATAAGTTTGGCCTTCCCGCTCACTGCCTCATATGCGACGTGCCCACAAGTTGGAACTCCACCTTGCACATGCTGGAGAAACTGTTTGAGCAGCAGCAGGCGATAGTGGAGTTTCAAAAAGATATGGAAGGGCTGCGCCAAATAAGGGTAGATAGTCCAGTAAAGTATTGCTAGGGTGCCAATAGATGGTCTAGGATACTTGATAGAGTTCCTCTGTGGATGCGTCTGGTGTAGACCGTTCCGTATATGTAAATACAAGAGAGGTAGAGGCGACTAATGGTATAGTATGAAAGTTCAGGGTGTGATAGGTAACAAAAAGTAAAGAACTCACATTCAGGAGAGCTATGGCCAGCTCTGGTGTGGATTGCGTACAGCGGTATAATCCCCGCTTATGGGATATGTAGGGAGGGGTCTCCGTCAGCACCGTCTGGTAGTCCAGAGCTCGAAAAAGAAAGACAGAAAGCAACAATAGTGCTCTCAATTTTGATGTGGTTCAATGTGCAGATAAGAAGAGGTAAAAAACTCACATTTGAGGGAGCTATGGCCAGCTCTGGTGTGGATAGCGTACAGCGGTATAATCCCCGCTTATAGGATATGTAGCGGCGATACGTCCGTCAGCACCGTCTGGTGATCCAAGGCTCCAATATAGAAGAATAAAAAGCAGCAATAGTGCTCTCAATTGTGATAGGTTAAGAGAGTAGTAGAGAAAATAAAATAATACTCACAAAGATAGAGCAGAGGTACTGCTCTATGGATAGGCGCCGGTGGTATGATCCCCACCTAGGATTTCTTGGAGTACTGGAACTTTAAAATTGCCAATGGAAGTAAAAGTAACCAGGAAAGGTTAAAATGCCAGGAATAGGTAAAAACAAAAGTTGTTTAAAGTGCATAAAGAGTGCAATAAAAAGAGGATTGGTACAATAAAGTAGCCAAAAAACTTTTATTGATCTAAAATACACAGTAAAATACAGAATTAATAACCATAAACGCGTTTCACCATAAGTGGCTTCTTCAGAATGGGATAAAAGTAGTAACCTGGCAGGGGTTGTTTAAATAGGGCTATGTTAATTTGAAAATTGCACCAAAAGTGTAATTGGCCAATCAGAGACAATTTTTAAAATCACTTTTCAAAATTAGGATTCAAGAGTATGGGAGTGATGTTATAAAGGTGATGAGTCCATTTAAATTATTTAAATGTGAAAACTAGAGTGAGAAAGTTGTTTTTAAAGAGAAAGAAAGGAAGAAAAAAAAAGTTGTTTGATTAAAGTTCAAAAAAAAAAAAGTTTGATTAAAGTTCATTAAAAGAACAAAAAAAAAGGGTTTGATTAAAGTTCATTAAAAGAACAAAAAAAAAAGGGTTTGATTAAAGTTCATTAAAAGAACAAAAAAAAAAAATAGATGGTTTAAAGGTACAGAGATACAGAGATATATGTAAATGGGGTATGCATGAAAAGGGGGTAATATAATTCCAAACATAATGATGATAGTGGAGTTTCAGCTGCAGCACGCATGGGTCAGTGGCTCTGCACCAGACTTCCCTCCAATTGATCAGAGTTAAAGGATTTCAAGTGGACTCATTACAATTACAGGGCCTCTAAAGAGTCCTGTATTGTTATTTGTCGTCACTACCTTCCCGCATCGGAAGTGGGTCATTTGCGTGCCTGCTGCCTTCCTTGCATATGTTAGCTGTTTCTCAGTGTCCCTGTGCAGAATGGAACCCTGATTCCCCATTACCCGTGGTCACCAGTGTTGGCTACCTCCTCCTCCACCGCTGCTTGCACCTCCACCGCCACGGTCACCGCCTCCTCAACCTATGGGTCACTTAGTGTAAAGGATCCTTCTATTCGTGCAGTACTGATCCTTGTAGCTTCTCCCGAAATCCAGCTGGAACAAAGTGATTATAGCTTCCAAATCCCCAAACATGAGTCGAGACTTCATGAAGGGGTAAAACGATCTGATTTAATGAGGGCTACCTGCCCGGTATTTATGCAGGTCTCCCACCTGATGGACACTCCCCTAGGGGACCAGATGGAAGACTGGGACACAAGAATTACAGTAGCCAATTGCAGTGGCTTTAACATAAGCACTCCCCTTTTACATAAGTAACTCCCTCCTTTCTACTATGGAGATAATTAACTTAAGTTAGTTAAAGGAACCTTAATTATCTTCAGGTAGTGAAAAACATGGCTTTTCATATATTCACCAAACAGCATAAAAATCTATAACTTATATTTTATTGCACTGAAACATTAAGTCCCACATACCCCTAGATAGCTTGGATCTGAGTGCATATTATAGGCGAATTGCGCTCAGATCCCACGAACACAGTTCTCAATATCGTCGAATGAAGTTTGGACTTCACCAGCGGTTCGCGTGTTTGTATCTGACAAAGAGCTCCATAACTGTAGCTATCTGGGGTCGGTCTATTTCGCAAAAATCCAAGTCCCGAACGGTGAAATGTTACCGGCATTCGTGTGTTTCCAGCCGTATGAACGAGGACCTTGGTAGGCATCAGCGGTGTTCGGCAGAATAAGTGTCCGAAAAAGAGTTCCAGGGCATCGCCGCCATTTACCTCTGAGCGTTCGACAATTTAAAATGGCGGCTGCCACGTGTTCGACAGACGAACGTGGACCACCAAGCTATTCCCCAATTACTCTGCGGTTAACCGCAAAGCCTGGGTGGTTAATGGGCACCACACAACCTCAGTAGGAGGTCGGGTGATTCGGCAGTTTATTCGTTTTATTGGTATTTGCACTAAATCACCCCACACACGCATAAATAACCGAACAGGCTGTTTCGCATAGTCTGGTTAATAGGGAATTTCGTTACACTTAGTATAAACTATGTACACAATAACAAAGACTTGTGAAGGCCTTTTCTCCATGCATCAGGAGTTGAGCTCAGTTTGAACAATGAAGGAGAATACCCTGCACTCCAACGCTCTCTCAAATGGAGAATTCTGGTGATCCTCCTGACAGCCATACTTTAGATTTTGATTTATGTTCTTCCAAAGCTAAAATCAAAGATTCCATCTAGTGCTATTTTATGGCTCAGCTGTTTTTTTAATTTGTAAGTTATTTTAAGTGATTTCCCTATACACATTTGTTTGCAGGGCACTTGTCCGACTCTTACCCGCATTTTACTTCCTTTTGCAGCTCTCTAGCCCTTTCCAGGAGTTTTTTAGAGGCATTTTTGTGCCCAAAAGTTTGGGTCCCCATTGACTTCAATGGGGTTCTGGTTTGGGGTCAAGTTCGAGCACGAACTCAGACTTTTTTTCAAACTTTGGCTGAACCCGCCGGACCCGAACATCCAGGTGTCTGCTCAACTCTAGTTAGGAATACTAAAGTGATCCTTTAAACTTCATTGATATGTGGTCAAATATAAGTTTCGAAGCATAATTCTATGATATTAAGGATTGTGTGTAGAAAAGGTACCTATTTTTGGGTGTGATTGGCTAGAAATTCCAATTACTTCATTTTTTATTGTACTGAAAAAAGTAGATTTAAAGAGTACAATATTACAAGAGAAACACAAAGTATTACATATTACACAATAAATGTATAAAAAAAAATATATAATGACTGACAACCAGAAAAAAAACAAGCTTTTTGCTTAAAACCTTTGTCTGTTTTGATGTGATTAAAAAAAAAAAAAAAACATACACATCATAAATGACAAGTACATATATAATGTTTAGGGTCTTCTGCTACTTTATTGGATTTGATTTTAAATTAAACCAAATAACAATCAATCAATTAATTAAGACAAGTTGTTTAATTGTATTTTAAAAATCAGAAACAGGCATGCTTAACAATCTTTGAAAGTCCTATTTAGTAAAAGAATATCAACTTATTTTCTCATGAAGCAATATATCTATATTTTACAAGCGCTACATAAGACATTTACTCTCCTTCTGTACATTAGTTATGCACACAATATCCATAGTAGTAATAACTGATGAGAGTAAACTTCAAAAACACATGATAATTAAAGTTAACGGTAGTTCAATTGATTCTTATGAGTACTTCAATCACCATGCATCTGAACCATTAAGCAATAATAGCATAGCTGTGTTTTATTAGGCAATAATCCAGTCCCCAAGTGTATAAATTATGATGCTATGGTCTAAGTTTATTTTGATTAAAGAATTGGCTTCTAGCTGATAAAATGGTTTCTTGTTACAGCCACGAATACTAAACTTTTCGTTGTTTTGTGACACTTAAAATACTGTAATTTGTGAATTTAAATAGAACGAATTACAGAAAGTATTACAAACTTGGGCACAATAACAGCATGCTTATTACTCTCATTTGTACTATGATAAAGAATTATAAAGCACAGGTAGTCTGAAATCCAATTATAACCTATATTGCTAAATTTATTTTTAAGTATTGGCTTATTATGGCAAAAACAAATACAGGATTACTTGCTAAAGTGAGTATTTACAGAAATGCAATTGAATTCAAAGTGAATTTCAAAGTTAAGTCCAAAATACCCAAATGTCAGCTAGTTAGAGCCAGTGGCCGTAATACTGCTGGTGCAACTGGTGCAGTTGCACTGGGGCCCACACACTGTACAGTCCCATTGGGTGGCCCAGGCACACGACTCCAGGGAAGCAAGTGCCTCCATCCTGCACACAAAGGTGTGTTAACAGGGGGAGAGGAGTGGCTGAAAATGGACGAATTATGACGTGTGTGTGTACCTGTGTGTATTTGTCAGTGTGTGTATCTATATGTGTCGTGTATTTATATGTGTTCATCTGCATGTCAGTGTGTATCTGTGTGTCAGTATTTTTATATTTGTGTATACTGCCACGATGTCTATGTACCCTATTTTTGGAAGGTCCTACTCTAACAACCTAATGTCTGCTCTTATGAGATTATGTAAGCTATGAAAATATAGACAACACGCAGGGGCACTCCAGGCACCATAACGTCTACAGTGCACAATGTACCTAAATGTATGTAATCGCTTTCTTTTTAGATATGCAGTGGTTTAGTCTATCAATCCTCCAGTAAAAGCTGCATGCAACAACAGAGTTTATCTACATATGTAAATCTATGTAAGCTGATGCACCTTTTTCTTTTAAAGGTATTTTAAAGATTTAAAGTGTTATTCTTTAAGGGCCATTTGGACTGCAAAATCCGGACACTGTTCACACTATTCAAATTGGAGCTTGAATTAGATTCAGATTTCAGCTGTACTGAAGACCGCCAAATTGATTGTATACCAGTTTCTACTTGAATACACCTGTGTAGGCGAAACGCATCTAGAAACTTTTTAACTCTGTTTTATTAAAGGAATTTTTGGCTTTACACCATAACTGCCATATTCCTTTTCTTTTATTATTTTTATTTTAAATACCTGACCTGATAACATCGTTTTTACTGTTCCTAAGAAGCAAAAAGAATACTTACATGGGGATTATACCACCCATGCGCCATACACCAAGCAGTGAGCCTTTTCAGTTCCAGACATGTCCGTTTTCAGTTCCAGACATTCAACGGCAAACACCGCTGTTCGGGAGCTAAAATGGCCGCGAACACGTGGAAGTCCCGAAATGGCGGCGAGACCTGCCGTTCGTGCAAAACTTCTGTCGAACGTAATCCAGCCAGCAAGGGGGTACAGTCTGTATAATGGGTAACAGGGTGGTCTGCATTCGGTAGTTTTACCTACTGAATGCCATAGGGAAACATTGCTATTAAACAAATGAATACAAGGGGTCAATTTACAGTATAAGAAGGGCATTTCTTCACAAATACAAACTGATTGCCTGCTGGTCAAAAGGTAGAGGCTATTTAATAAAAATAATGGTGGAAATTTTAGTGTCGCCCTGCCCCCGCCCTTGGTCAGTGGTTGGAGGCTATTATAATGTAAAGGGAAAACCTAGAGTTTTCCCTGGCACCCACCCATGGATTGTGGCCCTAATTATAGTGTCTTCCCCCTAACCTTGGCTCATGTGTGGTGGGTGGGTGGGGCAGGACAGAACTCTACAGTGCCCCTGCTCCGTGCCCCCCTACCCCCCTTGAAAAAAAAAGTGTGTTTAATTACTTTATTAACTGGACATTGCAGGCATAACATTTTATTAAAATCCATATATTTATATTTGACCCTTATATATGTATGTATATGAATGTGTATATTTCTGCTTGTAATGTATTAAGTTTAAATATGTGAGTATAGTTAGTGTATGCAGCTGTGAAAATGCACAAAGGGTTAAAGGTAATGATAGAACTGTAAAGGTGGAGGGTAAAGGGCTGATAAAGGCTTGAGAGGCATTAACATTAGAATTAGTTTACATGTGTTAAGGTTAAGAGGATTAAAAGCTTAAAAGGGGTTACAGTTGTGATATAATGGGTGTTTAGAATTATTGAGTCTTGGGTTAGAGTTTGGTTACATTTAGCATTGAGGTACATGGGGTATTTTGTATTTATAAGGAGTTAAGCACAGAATAAAGGTAAACAACTTTTTCAGGTTTACACTTAAATTTTGGACTGGACAAAGGTTTTGTTTAGGTTTGGGGAGTTTTTACATTTATGGTTAGGGCAAAGGGGCATATAGAGCATGTGAAGTTTAAGGGGTTTTTTTTTTAAGTACTCACCTTCTTCTGTTTTGTAGTCCAGCCAGCCTTCTATGATTGACTACCTAGCTGCAGGAACTGTTACACAATGTGCATCACTTAGTACTGTCTCAGCTCCTCCTGGTCCTCCTTTATGAGTTGCTGTTGCTGGGCAGATGGGAAATGATCCCTTCCAGTTCCGGTCCAGCCTTACAATAGACAGGTCCCTGGAAGAGCTAAAACAGCACTGAGTTTTACACCCTATATAACTGTTCCTGCAGCTTTACTAACAGGCATCGCAGGC